TCTTCTGCGATGCGCTGCGGTCGTCCGGTGGCCAACCAGGCGGGACAACCTGCCAGGCGGCCCGACCCACCCCCCGGGCGACTACCAGGTGGCCGGGCAGCCTGGGGACCATCCTAGGTTTTTGCAATTTTTTGTTTTATTTTGTTTTTGGTCTTCTGATTTCCGACAGTTGGCGCCATTTGCATTCTGGTGCCCGTTTTCAAAATCCCTCTTTCAGATTCCGGACACTTGTCGCCATCTGGCATTCTGGCGCCCACTCTCAGACTTGCAATTTCAGTTCTGACCCTGAGGCATTTTTGCTCTTGCCCTCAGGACCGTACTCGAGTCTGGTACTTATGTACGGACTCAAGCCCACTACGGGCATCAAGTTTTCAGCCTCAGTGCTTGTGTTCAGTGTGACTTTGCTTCGACATTGTGTTCGGGAATTCAAGACTGCAACTTTGTGACTTTGCCACTTTGTGTCTGTGTCCGACGAATTGTGTCGAGTCTGCGTCTAGTTGAGTGAGCGTGTGTGTGTGCTCTCACTCTCCCTCTCTCTTCCAGCCTCGCTGCTCTGCCTCTACCTCGTCACAATATTAGCATCAGCAGGAGGACCCTCCTTATCTACACATGTAACCTACCTAGTAAACTTAAGACCTAGGTTGACAACTACAGAATTGACGACACCAGCTCAATCCATGAAAGTCTGACATGACAGTACCCAAACATCAAAGGCCATGCATGTAACTCATCCACGGCTAGGGTTGTGAGGCGCATCACCTCAATGGTTGTTGAAGACTTCATGACGCTTCGCGCTGCAGCCAAGTTTCTCCTCTGCTCTCCCCTCGCTGGCTGCTTCTTGGGTCTGCCGTATAATTTTTGTTTTTCGTTTGTCAACGGTCGCGCCGTCAAAATGGTGCTGGCAGTACCAAACAGCAGAAAGATTTTACAAAAATAGGTCTGTTCCAAAGGTGGGCTTCTTCTTCCTACAAGCACACAATCGAAGACAACGAGAGTCTGCTCCAGTACCACTGCAACGACTCAAGAAATCACACCCGCTTCACGTCACTCTGTTTATGCACACCATCCCATAATTCACACAATATGAGCTTGGAAATCACTTGATAGCTCAAAGTTATCTACAAGGGACACTTGCACTCCAGCTGCTATGGCCTCTGTCAGCAACTGAGCAGGTATGTCTTCGGTTCCCTTTCCCTCTCTCTCCCTCTGACACTCTCTTCTGAGCAACCCTCAGGCCTCACTGTCCCTCTCTGAATGTCTTTGCCTCTCTCTCTCTCTCTTTCTAATCATCGTCTCTCTTTCCTACTGGCTATGGCGCCGGGTGCCATTGACTCTCTCCTCTCTCATCTGCGGCTTGATCGCACAGTACCGCAGCAGGTCTTCTGCAGTGGTCATGAATGGAAAATTGCGTTGGCACTGGCTGCGACATGACTTTTGCACTTGCTGCAGTTCCAGCATTAGACTAGTGATGTCGCTCCCCATTCCTTCGCTAACGGCAACCTGCCTGAATGTTTTGGACCATCATAGGGCTTTCCTGGGACTGAGCTGCAGCTGACTGGGACTGGCAGGCAATTGGTACCTGACGACTGATCCTGCGGGCTCAGGCCTACATGTTCTTGTACGGCCTAGTGTGTGGTACCTACCAGAACTCTAGTACGAGGCTACTAGTACGGTATATGGTACAGGGGGAAATTGGGACTTTGTACCAGGACTGGACTCTGAGACACGTGGCTCCTGTAATTGTACTGAGAAGCTAGCAGTTAGGTTTGGCTTCCTAATTTCCATCAAAGTGTAACTGGGGCTACTAACTTTTACCAGCCACGCGCTCTGTCCCTGGCCGTCGTGGCCCTTGCTGCATCATCCGATGGCGGGACCGGCAGCCAAGATTTCTGAAACGCTTTGTTTTGTTGGCATCTGGTGCTGGCAATGCTTGATGGGTGGATCCTGGGAAGCTGTAGATGCAAAAATGTGCGCAGTAGGATTGTCAGCCGTGTGATTAACTGTGCCAGAGTGTGTGGGGAGAAGTCTCCGCAAAGGGGGAAAGTGGACTCTGAGATGCGTGGATCATGTCATTGTATTCAGAATTTCAGAAGGTAGCGATTAGGTTTGGCTTCCTAATTTCCATCAAAGCGTAACTGGTGGCTAGTTTCTTAACACGAAACGTGAGTTTTATTTTTTCTGCAATGATTTGTTTTGTCGATTTTGTTTTTGGCCGGTGGCTGTAGATACTCGAGTTCGAAGCCCAGTGAAAAGAAGAAAAGGACGGGTGGGGGCCGTCATGTTTTCGGCCATTTTGTCTTTTGTTTTTGTAAATTTGTGTCATGTTTTTAGGCCATTCCGTCTTTTGTTACTGTATATTTGTGCATGATTGTCTTTTTTTCAGGGTATCGTGCTGTGTGATTTGTTTTATTGTTTCGTCACATGGCAACTGACCCAAGTTCGAACTGATTAAGCCTTTTGGTTACAGTAAATCAATTTTGTAGCTCTCTCTCTCTCTCCCTCTCTCTCTCTCTCTCTCTCTCTCTCTCTCTCTCTCTCTTTTGTACAACTATGTATTGATATGCATTTGCGTGTCATTTCTTGAAAAAATGATTCACTGTTCCCACGTCTTAGAGTGACACGATCAGGCGTAATGCATGCAGGCAAAGCCGGCTCATCCTGTTTGTTTTAAAATTTTAATTTGTGGCTGATGTCGATGGTCCTCTTGACAGTTGCTTGGTGTCATATTTTTATTTTCTTCTTTTTAGGTGGTCGCTCACAAACATCACTGCCCCTCTCCTCTTCGGTAAGCTATGACCTTTTCTGAATGCCATGTAAGAGTTTTGTAGTGCTCGTGCTCACATCGAGCGCCCTGGGATTGAAAGGAAGCTGGCTCTAGCAGTGCTTCATTATAGTGTTCTCTGCAGATCATCTGGTTTGTTCTGCTTTGTCTCCTTCTTTGACTCCTTTTTGGCCATATTCTGTTCCAAACTCTTTCCCTGCTTTCGTCTGCTCTTGCATGCATTCAAGGTTCGGGTTGCTTGCAGACCTAGTAATCTTCGCTGGCGGGTATCCCGGTGTGTGTCGTTGCCACCCTTGGCCTATGATGGGAGTTGGCAGGAACCAACCCATACGAAACCTTGTCACCACCAACACCCTCCTTTTTCCCCTTACAGGAGCGATATTCGTTTTCATTTCTTATGTTATCAGCGAGAGTTTGGCTGGTTCCAGGCTTCAGGTTGATAGTGCTGCGTCTTTGCGGCAGTTTGTTGCTCAGAAAAGAGGTTTCGCTCTGATGTGTGTCCTTGACTGGAGCCATTACCTGTCTATTTGGATTGGTATGACGGCAAATCTGAAACACCTGTGTGGCTTCTTGCTTGGTGTTGTGATCAGGGATGAGTATCCTTACAACAAGCGAGACGTGCTGAGCAGCTGCTATTCTCCACTTGCTTACCTGGAACTGAGGGTGTGTCATGTGGCGTCCCTCGCAATCCCTCGTTTTGTTGAGTATGTTCAATGCTGAGTTTTGTCTAATGTCTTACCAGCTAATTAGGGTTATGAGGTTACAATCTTTGGCTTGCCGACAATGCCTGGCTGTCTTACCGTTCACCTGGATATAGTGCCCCATCATTACAGCTGTATCTAGACTGAAATTGCCCCAATTACAGCTATAACGACTAGGCATTCTATTCGGGTGAAGTCTAGTCAGCCTTGGCGATGTTGAGATGGCTCATTGGCAACTCCCCCCAGGGCCTGCAGTCTTCTTTCCCTGTCTTGTGCCTGGAGGCCAAGGCATGTTTTAGCTAGATGTCTGCTACAGATATGCATGACAAGGGAGCACCCTGATCTCCCCCTCCCTTGTCATGCATATCTGTGACTCTGAAGGTTATGGTATCTCCATGCTGGCTCGCTGCGGGGCTCCTGCCAACAAGCAAAGCCATTTTGCAGACACAGTTCCCCCTTCCTCCCCTTTCTCGTTTCGTTCTGGTCTTCAAGAAAATGCTGGCTGATGTACGGCATGTTATTCGTCTTTGGTGGGATAGCTGACTTAAAGATATTGCGAACCTTAGGTTTAGTGCAGAGTTGCACAGCTGACCGTCGGTAGCCACTACTGATCAGCTGCTGACCTGCCAAGGCATCAACTTGTCGGCACCACTGGTCGACTCAGCTTGAGGCCGGGGGATCCACACAATAACACGCACAAAGTACACATGCATCAGTCAGTGAAAGTCCGATGGAACAGTCTGGGACAGTCATGCTTTGTTTTTGTGGAGTTGTGTATGGCAAACATGACAAGAGGGCGAGAGAGTGACCGAGCGAGAGCGCGCGCGCACACGAGAGAGAGAAAGAGAGAGAGAGAGAGAGAGAGAGAGAGAGAATCTGTGATGGAATTTGAAAAGTCATTAGCTGTCTACTGAAATTGAGAGGGAAAGTAATAAGAGGTTTTTCAAAGAAAAGCTTTTGGTTTATAAGGTCTTTCAGATCTGTGCCGGTAAACCTGTATGACTTGAAATTTCTTTTGTATAGACTACTATAGAGCCCTCACCTGCCCAATTAGGCAGAGTATTGCACTGGAGCTGCTGTTGATAGTGTTTTTGGTCATCGTCCATGACACCACACAAATTTTGCTTTTTCAGTTTTCTGTGGCGAAACCTTTCACAGAATCGAAATCTGAATGGTGACAAGGGTGGAGCTTTTATGGCCTGCCACGTCATGCAGCTCGACTGACAAGAGACATATCCCCTCTTGGAAGCTCCTTAGTTTTCCAATCGAGCATGTCCAAGATACTGCCTAGGATGACGTTTGAATTTTTGACAGCCAAAACTAAAGAAAATCAAGATCTGAATGGTGCATACAGTTGCCTTTTTACCCCTACCGCCTCGTTCACCCTGATTGACAAGAGACAAACCCTGTGTTAAACTGCTCTGCATAAATCACCGCTCCCCCGTCACTCTGAAATTCAGGGCACCGCTAGCGCTTTTTCACGAAAATATTTTGGTCCTCCTGATGGCTGCAAGTATTAGAAAAACGCTGAAAAAACTTTCAAAAAATATAGGCTACCAGCTGGGGCACCTGGGCCACCTTGGGCTGCCCATGTGGCTCAAGTGGTTCAGAGCAGGCACTGCCTGGGTAAAGTCCCAGCCAAGGTCCTTGCAAAAAAAAGCAAAAGGAATATCTAAAAGGGTCTTTACGATTCAGAGTCTTCAGACCCCAAATGAGTACGGGCCCGACGGCCAGAACTTAATTTCACGTGTAGCATTCCAAAAGACAAGTACTCTGAGGCAAAGGTCGCATCCAAATAAAAAGGAAAAGTCATGTGGAAAGTCACAGTCAGGTCCTGGACGAACAGGCACTGTGTTTTATTTTAGTGCTAAAGATAATGCGAGGATCTGGGTCCTCGGCAGGCCTAAGGGGCCCCGGTTGCAGTGGTGCCCGCCCTAAGTGAAGGCGGGCCTAACATATTACAAGGGGCCTTTGACTGTCAATTTCATATTTGGGGTACAGGTGGTTCCGACGCGCCAGTTGGTTGAGAGAAACACAGGCCGAGCAACCAAGACATCTCCACGGCCTTCTGGGCCTTTCTAAAGCATGCAGGCCCTGGACGAGTAAAGCAGCCCCATACACTGACAGTTGGGAGGCCCAACCAACAGAGGCCCGGTAGCTGCAAAGTAGCACGCAGCATCCTGGGGCCTTCCGGAAGCTTCTGGGCCCAGGCCAGGCCAGCCAGGCAGCCCGAGCAGGCCAGCTCTTTCCATAAAGGAAAGAGCTCTCCCCTGGCAGCCTCATTCAGGCACTCGCATGCTGGCGGCAGCGCTGCTGGAGCAATTGCTCGTGGGCTGCTGCTGGCGCTGAGAGGCGAGGTGCAGCACGTGCGCTCGTGCAGGGAAGCAGGGCGCTGCTGAGGGCAGCGCCATAGACCAGCCACCATAGCTGGTGGGCTTGGACTACAGTGAGGCGCATGAGTGGTCTTCGGGTGTAAGGGAGGAAGACATGGGTGTAAAGTCAGAGAAGGGTGAAGGATGATGATGATGATGATGTGAGGGCACATACCTTGTATTGGCGATGGTCTGCATTTGGGCGCATCTTCAAGTACTTCGGGTTGCCGCTGATGTCAACAGTTGCATTGTCTATTAGTAAGCTGATCGTAGCTGTGTAGGAGTAGGCTGGGCGCTGAGCGCCAAGTAGGAGTGTGAAGGGACTGGACTCTTGTGTTGTTGGCGGAGAGAGAAAGCTCTCCTTGACATTGGTGTATTATTGGTGCAATGCTGCTCTGTGGACACAGTGTGACTATCTGGCTTTCGATGTGATGGTGTAATCTGGAATTGTCATCTCGCTGTTGCTTATTTTCCTTGCAATAAGGTCATGTCTGTTCAATAATAAGTCAAAAGTCACAGTCCCAGGCCAGTCATGGTTCCCAGGGTCACTATCTGATCCAGTCCAAGAGTCCAAAAGACAGGCCCGACGGCCACAGCAGCAGCAGACCATGGGAAAGGGTACTGGGACACACATTTGCAGCAGCAGGTACTGGGTAAGAGTCCCAGGTGAAGGGAGGCTGGACGCAGACCTCATTCAGTCAGTCCAATCATATAAAGGACCTGGGCAGCCTCCCATTCGGAGATTCTCATGGGCATGAGAGTCTGGAAGTGCTGAGGCACTTGTGCGCCAGAATGCTAGTGAACTGCGCAGGCTAGAGAGCTGCGCGAAGGAAGGAGAAGGAAGCTGGGCGCTGGCTGAGAGAAGCAGCCATAGCTGCGCCAGCAGAAGTTAGTAGCGGTAGAAGGGTTAGTAGTAGGAGTACCAGTGAGTAATACTCAGAGTAGATCCTCGTGTGATAGGGAGTGTGCATGCATGATGAATGTGAGTAAACCAGGACGATAGACAGAGGGAGAGAGAGAAGAAAGCAGACAAAAGAGGGGGAGGAGTGAGCTATGGTGACACTTACCTGTTGAGCGCTGTTGATGATGATTGGCAGTTGGCGCTGATGAGTGCCAGGCTTGAAACTCGTAATAGATTGAAGAGTACTTGTAATTCTGTTCAGCGCTATACATTTTTGGACTCACGTTTCCCTCTCCTAATTTCGTTATGATGTTTTGAGTCGAGCTTCCTGGTTCTCATTCGTTTTCCATTGAGCTATGAGTGAGATATCGCAATCTGTGAAATCTATGTTTATGCATGTGATCTGAGGCACTCCAGCAAGTGATGAACAGTCGGGTTCCTTGCATATCAGAAATCTGAAAAAAAAATATTATTCAGGATCAGGGTTGCACACCCGCGACCGCCGATGTGGACCGTTTTCCAGCCTACCAGTAGGGCTGACTGGTAGGTGGTCTGCCGACCAGTCTTTAGAGTGTCATCCACTGATGTTTTTTCAAATCTGAGTTCAGGGCTGCACTGTGATTGCTCAGTACAGCCCAAATCGGCTGAGAAACTTCTGGGTATTGGGTGGGGGGGGTTGGGTATGAGGTTGTTAGGGAGCGGTGTGGGGGTGGTGGGGGGGGGGGGGGGGGGGTATGGTGGTGTTGGTGGGGGTATTGGGGGTTGTGGACCCTTTTTGTTTTTCTTCCGCGGTGCCGACAGACTTCCGGGGTTATTGGGGGTTCTGGACCCTTTTTGTTTTTCTTCTGGGGTGCCGACAGACCGCCTACCGGTAGGTGCCGACAAGTGGAACGGTCTGCTGGTCAGCCCCTGGCCAATCCAGAGGCACCGACCGTTGGTATGACTACTACTCTGTGGAGGATAGAAATCAAACAACTTTTGCTTGACTGTCACTCCAAAATTCTTTATGAATCTGAAAATTTTAGATAAGATAAAAAATAAGACCATATGAGTCTATGCTGCACTGACACAGGTGGCCTTAGGGCAAGTGGTCCTGGGCTACTCTGGTAGCCTAGGGAAGAATCTGAAAAGAAGGCAGAAGATGCAAAGTTGCTAACATTTGCGGCCAGAACTGCGCTACAAGCTGGGCAGCCCGGCTGGTTAGGACCCGCCTGGATCACCCTGCTGGGCGGGCCGCCCGGACGGCCCACCAGGCAGGTTAGCGCAAATTGGAGTGCGGGGCGTTTCAGCCTGGTAGGGCTTCAGGCGGCAACAAATCAGCCTCAAACAGCCGCACGTGAGAAAAACAGACGGGGGCCTCCAATTATTCTCGTTTTTTTTTGGGATCACCAGGCCCGTTTTTTTTTTTCCACAAGCGTTTAAGGGCTGAGCCAGACCCAGCAGCATATATCTGGGCCAGCCCTTCAGTTGAGGGCTTTCTGGCTCGAGCCTCAGTTGGGAATCACACTGCGGGAGCAGTGCCAGTTTTGGAGAGCTGCGGTAGAGTAGCAGTGATAGATGAGTAGGGGAGTAGGTTGAAATGGGGAGGTTGGCGGGTGCCATACCCACAAGGGTGAGAGAGGCTTACCTGGGCGCCTTAACTGGGACTTCCTACCGGTCTGGGACTGGCCTTCACTGGTCAGTATTCAT